TAAGGTTATCTTGGGGCCATGCCTCAAGAAAAGAGATAGAGGAACATCTAGGCATAGATTGAAGTGAGTTTTGGAAGGAATGTTTTTTTTTAAATCATGTTTGAACTGCTTTGAACAATCTGAAACAAAACTAATAGCACTTAAATCTGGAATAGTGTGACTAATGAAATCTCTAGGTAGCCACCAGGTGGTGCTATCTAGGAAGATTGGCCAGATAGGTGGAGTGGCAGGTAGGCCACAAGCATTCATTAAGATCTTACAACATGACAGGAATTGTACTCAGCTTTTAGGGTATTATAACATGCACATAGTCGATAAAGAATGTAAACTCTCTCCGTTAAGGAGCTTACATTCTAAAGGGCAAAGACAACACAAAAAATGACCTGAAAAGGGAGGGGGTAGCTGTGGGGAGGCTGGTGGAGAACAATGTGGAAGAAGGGCAATCAATGACCTCATCTCTGTCACACTTTATTTTTTTTCTTTTTTTTATTATGGTAATTTTTATTTTTTTTTTGTTTTCAACATTTGCTTCCACAAGATTTTCAGTTCCAAATTTTCACCCCATCTCACCCCTCCCCCCACCCCAAGATGGCATGCATTCTGAATACCCCTTCCCCTCGTCTGCCTTCCCTTCTATCTCTCACCCCACCTTCTCTCATCCCCTTCACCTTCAATTTTCCTGTAGGGCAGGGTGGATTTCTGTACCCCATTTCCTGTATTTCTTATATCCCAGTTGCATGTGAAAACATTTTTTTTAAACATGTGTTTTTAAAACTTTGGGTTCCAAATTTTCTCCCTTCCTCCTCCCCACCCACCCTCATTGATAAGGCAAGCAACTAAATATAGGTTATATATGTGCAGTTGTGCAAAAACTTCCATAATAGACAGGCCGTGAAAAACTAACTCTATTTCCCTTAATCCTATCCCACCCCCCCATTTATTCTATTCTTTCTTTTGACCCTGACCTCAGAAGTACTTGCTTCTGATTACCCCCTTTCCCAATCTGCCCTCCTCTCTATCATCCCCCTACTCCCTTGTCCCCTCCCCCCCCATTTTCCTGTAGGGTAAGACAGATCTCCATACCCAATTGAGTGTGTATGTTATTCCCTCCTTAAGTCAAATTCTTTGAGAATAAGATTCACTCATTCCCTCTCACCTTCCTCCATTCCCCCTCCACTGTAAGAGCCTTTTCTTTTCTCTTTTTTTGTGAGATAATTTACCCTGTTCTACCTCTCCCTTTCTCCTTCTCCTAGTACAATCCTCTCTCACCCCTTAATTTTATTCTCCAGATATGACTTCAAGTTGCCCCATTTTCTGTGTCAAGAGGAGATGAGTTTCTCACAGCTCCAGGTAGATAGTCCTCCAATTATACTTCTATCACATATCCTCCCTTGAAATGCATCCTCAGCCTTCTCTCTTCAAATCACTGAATCTTGTGCTCTGCCAATGTCCCACCTCTCAGGACAGCAATCTCAAAAACTCCATTCTAGGTCATGGAATCTAACTCTTTTTTATGCTCCCTCAGCATTAGAAATTTTTCAGTGCCTTTGCTTGAATACTATGCCTAAAACATATACTGAAAAAGTCATCATGAAGAAAGGTAAGTATCTAAGAACTAGCATTAAGGGCTTATTATTTGCCAGGCAGTCATTGTGGTGGGGACATAAAGAAGACAAAAGAAAGATAGTTCCACCTCTTGAGGAGCTTGCATTATAATGCAGAAAAATCACAATCTCATGTTCCCCCTACACCTACATTCCCCTTCCACAGTGCCAATGCAGATGAATTGACCGGCCTTTGTGCTACCCTATACCATGCATTGTAATCTCCCACTTCCAAGTTGAGTGCTTCTCCCCTTGCAAAGAATGCCTTCCGTGAAGGAAAGGACATCATCTGAACAAAAAAATGGCTCCCACAGCATCTGGCAGGGGTTATGCATGCTCTGCCTACTTCTCTCATCCAAGTTCACACTCATGCCAACACTCTCAAAGCCAAACACAGTAGAAAGTCACTTCTTCTCCCTCAAATATTTTTTAGTGTCCCAGATCATTCAGTGGCGCTCAAAGGCTGTGTCTTGTATTTTACTTGGTATGCCCAAATTATATGAAACTTACTCCTGCAATCATGTGTACCTATAGTGTTGCCAACAACTTAAATATTCTGCGTGTCCCAATTCCTCACAGCAAAGAGACATACCTCAAGTGGGGTTTGAGAACCATTAACTCACAACCTCTCCTCTCCCCTTTTTCTCTTATGAAGTTCATAGCTTCATAAGCAAGAGACAACTCTCAACTCAAGTACACTATGGTATTTACTTCAGGTGCCCCCAAAAATAAAGGACCTTCTTTCTTCTAGATCAAAATGAAGGCAAAGAAAGGGAGATCAGTTGTGGAATGGCTGTTTTTTGAATATAAGATTATAATATAAGAATAGAAAAGAATATTATTGTTCCAAAAGAAATAATGAAAGGGATAGATTCAGAGAAGCCTTGCAAGACATATCAAATGATGCAGAGTGAAGGAAGCAGAACCAGGAGGACAATTTATACAATGACGATAATGATGTAAAGGAAAACAACCTTGAAAGACCCAAGAACTCATACCAATGCATAACTCCTCCTTTGAATGTCTATCTGATGGAGGGTGTAGAAACTATTACTGTCTCTTTCAAATTTTCAGAGCCAGAAAGAGCTCAAATAGAAAATTGAGAAATAGTTTTGCTGGCAGTTTAAAAAGTCAGTTAAGCAAATGGACTGACAGAAATGAAGCATTTCTCCCAAGAAAGTCAGGGAGAAGGTACCTACTTTATTGGTAAAGCATGAGTATCTAGGAAGATTCTGTGGAGAAGAAAGGAAGTAGGTGAGAAGATATTCTTTCCTTATTGGAACTGTCTTAATAATGGTACAATAAAGAAACTTTCTAATAGGAATTCCATGAGAAATCTGAGGAGTTAGGAAGTACAGTGTTTTGGAAAGGTTGTTTTCTGTCACTACTGAAGAGATGACAGGGAAAAAGGACTAATCCTGTGGGGAACTATGAAAAAGATGTTTTAGGAGACTTGAATCTTTACATGGAGCGAGATGAATGATTTGAGACTGCATTTCCAGACATGGAAAAAAGAGTTATGTGCTGATATATTAAAGATTTGATCTGGCTTATGACATTAGTCATAGCCAAAATGCTGCCAGTAAAGCTATATGATTTTAGGCTTGTTATTAATTCCAATTATTAAATTTCACATGCATATGTTCAACAATTTAAGTACTTATTTAAATATTGAAAAGCAAGTGTGATTATTTAAAAAGAAAATTTCTCTAATCCATTAAATACTTAGCATTTAATGAACTGGAGTAGGGTTGTAAGCTAAATACTTAATAACAGACTGCAAACTTAATAAGCAGAAAGCAATTACCACAGTTTAGCCCTAGATTGCTGTTGGGCTCTGGAAGATAAAATAAATATAGAGTAATAAATGAAGCCTCAGATTGAAAAGTAGTAGCGTACAAGTGAATCAGATCCCAGATCCCAGAATCCATTGGTACAAGTTGGGGCATTCCTGTCTTTTCAACCTGTTAAAAAAGCTATGCCCTATCATAATTTGAGAAGATTGATAATGCATCATCTTCTCCCTCCCTCCAAAAAAAAGCCTAGAGGTACAGAGTGAGATAGATGCTTTCAGACCAAACCAATATATCAATTTATTTTTTTCTTCACCATTTTTATTTGTTTTGAAGGTAAGCTTTTTGTGTTTGACAGAGAGAGAGAGAGTGTGTGTGTGTATGTGTGTGTATTGGGGGAAAGAAGATAAAAAGTTCAGTTGCAAAGAAAGAGAAAGAAAGAAAAAGAAAGAAGGAAAGAAAGAAAGAAGGAAGGAAGGAAAGAAAGAAAGAAAGAAAGATATGAAGGAAGGAAAAGAATGAATGAAGAAAGGAAGGAAGAAAGGAATGAAGGAAGAAAGTAAGGAATAAAAGGAAGGAGGGAGAGAGAAGAGAGAAAGAAAAGAGTTTCAGTAAAACATTTGAAGAAACATGTAGCAGTTAGCAGAAGTTCAGAATGGAACAGAGAAGCAGAGCAGTTTTGTTACTATTGTGTTAGTTTTATAAACATTGTGCTATGTACTACAAGTGCAATCCTCTGTTTATAGTCTGGTAGACCTGACTCAAGATATAGAACCACCAAACCATAGGGTCCTTCCCACAAAGTTCTGCTTTAAAGTTCACATTAAAAATAAAATGTGTCAACAACCACATAGGGACATGTCAATTCTCTCTGTGCACAGATTTCTTTGTTCCTTTCTGGTGTGGTAGCTAGCTTACCACACCATCCTTCATATGGAAATCATGTACCTGTAAGAAGAAGGAAAACAGAGGAAAGGAAATTTTATCAATTCCCCTCTTCATATACCCCTGCAGGTCTAATAGTAAATTTGGTGAAGATCTTGGACAGAACCTTCTTACATGGAAGGAAAGCAGAAAAGAATTCAGTAATTGTCTGACTTCCTTTTCTTACAAAGTTGTTCCTCATGACCATGGACAACACCCATAGAATAAATGGAGCTGCTTTTTCACCACTATGGCTAAGGCCAAAAGTGTTGATCAAGTAAGTGTTAGAGTAGGATACTCAAAATAATCAAGCCAATTTGGAAGACATTAAATTAAAAAGCTTTTGAATAAAAAATATCGGTACACTAGAATAAGAGAAACTGCAAATTGGGTAAAATTCCTCATCTGAGCAAAATGTAATGAGAAGCTCCGTCTATGCTTCTGGGTATGTGTGGGCTCTCAGAGCTGGAATGCAACATGTCTCAAAGAGCTCCCTTTGTGAAAATGGGTTCTCCAAAACCTTTTGAGGCCTGAGATCTGGCCTCTTGAGCTCCCTTTTTAAAGTCAGGGTGATGAAGAGCTACAGTCAGAGCCAGAGGACTTCATCACCCTGCACCAGATTCAGAGCTCCAGTCAAATGCAGTCCCCCACCTCCTCCCTTGGAAAGAACAAATGTGGCTCAGGGCCATCTCATGAGTTTCTCACCTTTCTGACTCCTAAGGTGAACAGCGAAGCCATCCCCAAGGAAGATCAGTCCTAGCACAAGGCCCCCAACTCCAATCAGCATCTTTCTCTGGTCAGAGCTGGATGGTGCTTCTAGGGAGAAGACACCCCAAGAACCACAATTTTCCCTCTAGGAGCTGTCTTGGTGTGCTAAGCAGCCAAGTCTGAAAGCCTGAGTAGTTGGTTAAAGGGAAGGAGGAAGGAAAACCTAGTTGCCCTATGCTAGGGGAAAGGAGGATACAGGTGATTAGAGTCCCCAAAGGAGGCTAGCTTTAAGCCTGGGACCACTAAGAATGCCAAGGTCCTAGGTCCCCATAGTCTGCAGCCCAGCACTGCAAGCAGGGAGTTGCACTGAGGGAAAGCCAAGAAATTGTTGAGGAGGAGAGAGGGCAACAGGAGACTAGAACTAGAGGTTGCCATGTCCTGAGGAATGTTGGGTCTGAAGGATCAGGAGCTGCTTCTCACCCCAGACCACAACGACAGGGTTCTGAAGGCTGGAGTGCTCCACTTGACAAGTGTAGACATGTCTATTCTTGGGGGTCATTTCCAGCATCACCAGGATCTGGTAGGTCCAGTCTCCGTTGCTGATCAGGCCTGTGGACACAACCCCAGCCATCTCCTCCTACCCATTCAGGAACCACCTGACCTCAATGTCCCCAGGATAGAAACCAGTAACAAAACAAAGTGGTTTGGGTATCATAGGGTAGCAATCTTTGATGGATACACAGTCATTTGGAGCTCAACTAGAAGAAAAAAGAAAGATCCTGAGTGAGAGACCCAGAGCATATCTTCCTAGTCCAGTCCCCACTTCCTTCACCTCTCCTTTCCCTTTCGCTTTCCCTTTCCCTTTCCCTCTCCTCTCATCTCCCCTCACTCTGCCCTCCCCTCTCTCTTCACACTCCACTCATTGCTTGCTTCACCCTCGCTTCTCCTCACCTATCTCCTCCTGTCCTTTCCTCATCTCAGCCTCCTTCCCTCCCCTTCCTCTCTTCTTTCTTTCCCCTTATTCCCTCCCCTTTCCTCTCCAATCATTTCCTTTCTCCATTCCTCTTCCCCTCTTGTCTGTCCTACTCACCCCTCTTCTGCATCCAGGACTCCAGCAATCTATAGCTGTCCCTGCACACAGTCACCTGGGCCCACGCTTGCTCCAGGGCCTCCAGCAGGCTATTCATTAGCTCCACAATGGGCCGCCCCAGCTCCGTCAAGGCCACGAACTCCCCCACATCACTATGGAAGTGCAGGATCTCGTGGTGGTCGTAGATGAGTCTCTCCACAAACCGCACGTGCTCAGTCCCATTGACAAAGTGACACTCAGCCTTCATCTGTTCTATAAAGTGTCTGCGGGGACCCAGAGGCAGGTCAGCTCTGTCTGGCAGCAGTCACCCCCAAACCCTGACTGGGCACGGGGGTAAAAAAAACTGCTACACCTGCTCGCTTCTTCTAAGAATCAGGCTGATATTTATGCGGATGCCCTGCTCTACCATTCTGAGCCTCCACCCCTAGCCACAGCTTGGCAGCAAATTCGTTGACTAGAACGCCCACCTTCTGATTCTCAGACAGTTATTCCTTTTGTTGCACCCACAGCTGATTTTCAAGATATTAATTCCCTGTCCCTCCCCCCAGGGCAAGTCTACACCTAACCAACCCAGCACAAACACTGCAAGGAAATTATACCCAAAGTCCAGCCTAAATCCTCCTCTCTGCTCTCTGAACCCTCTTTACTTGGGATGTCTTTATAGAATCTTTGTATCCCCACAGCAATTGGGCTCTTCTTTCTATTCTCTTCTTAATTCAGATCATGGATTATTGCAATTGCTTCTAAGTGGATCTCCCCCACCCCAACCCCTACAAGTCTGTCTTTGCTCCACACCTTTCTCTTCCCAGTGGCCAAAATGATTTTTCTTTAGTTCAGGCCTGACCATGCCACTCCCTTGTTCAATAAACTCCAGTGTCTCCCTGTTACCTCTAGGAAAAAATATAAAATTCTCTTCTGCTTGGCTTATGAAGGCCTTCCCAAAGTGGCCTCAACCTATCTTTTCAAGCCTCATTTTGTTTCTGCCCTTTTCAAGTCCAGCCACATTCCAGGGCCTTCTTATTGCACCTCCTACCCAATACTCCATCTCTCCTATCTCCATGCCATTACACTGGCTATCTCCCAGGCTTGGAATGCATTCCTTCTTCATCACTGTCTCCTAGAAACCTTTCCTTCAAGACTCAGCTCACATTCCACCTTCTACACGAAGCATTTCCTGCTAGTACCCTCCCTCCAAAAACTACCTTATATTTTCATTGAATATGTATGTATGTATGTGTGTATGTGTATATATACATACAATGAGTGTGTATAGGGGTGTGTGTGTCTGTAAGTATGTGTGTGTGTGTGTGTGTTGTTTCCCATGAGAGAAACTAAGTGGCTTGAGAGCAGGGACTCTTCTGTGTTTTTTTTCTTTGTCTATTTGTTTGCTTTGTTTTGTTCTCTGTAATCCCAGTGCAAGTCACACAATAGGCACTAAATAAATGCTTGTAAACTGATCATATGCTAGCCACCTTCTGTGCTCATCCTCTCAGACATGGAATTTCCTTTCTCTCATCTCACCTCAGCACAATGCTGCCTATCTTTCTAGGCCAGATCAAATGTCACCACCTCCCTTAAACCTTCCATAATCACTCCACCCAAAAGAATCCTAGTTATATGGTCTTTCCCCACTCTAATCCAATCCAGGTATATCAGTCCCTAAATGAAAGGTCTGAACATGTCACTCTCTACCACCACTACCCTGCCAGCTCAGTGACTTCTGGTGGTCCCTGTTGGCTCTAGAAACAAATCATCACTCTCTGTTGGGCACTTCAGATACTTTATTCCCAGACTCTGGTCTCCCCTTCCAAACTCCTTTTCATGTACTCTACAGTGGAGGTGTCAAATACGACCCACAGGCCTCATGTGACAGACACCACTCCTGTGTGGCCCAAACCAGATTAAAATGTAATTGGGAAATATTTAATGAAATAAATAAAAACACAATGCAAATACATAATATCAATATGTTTAACTCAATGTGTGGCCCACATGGGGCCATTATTTATGGTTTAGTGGCCCCTCTTCCTATTTGGGTATGACATCACTGATCTCTACTTCAGCCAAATGACCTTCTGCCAGTTCCTCATATGCAGTACACCAGCTCCCATCTTCAGGCCTGTGTGCCCCATGCCTGGAATGCCCTCAATCCTCACCTGCCTAGGAGAATTCCTAGTTTCTTTTGAGGTTCTGCTCTAACACCAGCTTCTACATGAAACTCTTTCTTTGGGTCTTAGCTACTCTGGTGCCTTTCCCCCACAACTACTTGGTATTTATTTTTGTGTATTTTGTATATACACACATATAGATATAGATACAGATATGTCTCTCTCTCTCTCATATATATATATGTATGTGTATATATATATATATATATATATATATATGTTACATACATCATACACATACACACACACACCCCTATAGTCTGATAGAATGTTAACTCCTGGAATAACAACAAAAGTTTCATTATTGTCTTTGTATTCCCAATGCCTAGAAAACTCCCTAGTACATTGCTGGTGCTTAGTCAATGCTTATTTCTTGATTAATTGATAGAATGTTAGGACTAGAAAAAATCTTAACAATCATTCCATCTAACTCCACCCCTTCTCTGCCACCACTACTACACATACACCATTTCACAATTTAGGAAAGTGAAGTCCGATGCTTTGCCCAAGGTCATAGGAGAAGGTGTTCACCAAAAGTAAGGCCACCATCTGCATTCCTACTGCCCTGGTCGTTTATGCATTGTTCATGGCATGTACCACATTCAGCCTTGGTGCTCAGCCTTATGGCTATCAGCTTGATTACAAACTCCTAGGGGCAAAGGCAATTCCTGGACTTTTTAGTGATCCCCACAGCCCCTGTCACAGTGACTCTCATGTAGTAAATCCTCAGTGATTACTGCTTAAGTAAGTGAAGAAGGCATGTAGGTGTTCTAGGGGATAGAGCAATGGACCTGGAATCAGGAAGACTTGAGTTCAAATTCAGCCCCAGACACTTGCTAGCAATGTGACCTTGTGCAAGTCACTTAACTTCTGTCTTGCTCAGTTTCTTTACCTATAAACCTCCCACAGTTTTATTGACAATGAGATATTTGTAAAAAAAAACAAAAAAATACTTTGCAAACTTTCAAACACCACATAAATGTGAAGTAATATAGTGAAGAAACACTTACTGATCTTGGGGCAGCTCAGATCCTACCTGCTCCTTCCTTGCCCATCCTGTGCCATAGGAATATCCCTCTGCTTTCCCCTCTTGCTGTACTTCTCCTCTGTAGAATACATGGTTAGGGAAGAACTTGGATCTCCAGCTACATTTTCACTTATGTTGGGGTGTTTCTGATACTTTGCATTCCCCATGCCCCCAAGCACAGGGCTGAGCAGAGAGCAGTTACTTAATAAACATTTCTACTTTGGATGACTGGTTACATTGAAGCACTGCATCTTCATTCCACTAATGGCCGCCTCTAGGCTTGTCTGAGTCTCTGGACCTGTCTAAGCAGCCATGCTGAGGCTGAGATTCCACTGCTCAGGTTCCCTTGTTCAGGACCTGACTGTTAGACCCTAGGCAGCTCCCTGTCTCAGGCTCAGCCCCTGGCAATGGGAGTCACATAGGACACTCTACCCAGAGGGTTGTACTGATGTAAGAATCAAGAAAATGAAGGGTTTTCTAGATACATCATGGATGAGAGATCCAAGGCAGATAATCAACTTCATGAGGGAAGTGGTGGCCAGGCTGGGGCCAGGACAGGCTTTGAGCAAGATGTTTGGAATAGCATTAAAAGGCCTTTGATCTGATCACTATCTGCCTGCAAACCTTGCTCTGGTTGGTGGGGTTTCTGTCATTGCCCAGAAGACTCCTTTTTGAGGATGTAGGATTTTTGACAATGTGACCCCAACCTACCTTTCCAGTTTCGTTATATACATTTTTCCCCTCAATGAACTTTATGATATCACCAAATTACTTTTTTTTCACTGTCCCTATACCATGTTCTATCACTCATATTCATGTTTTCACATTGGTTGTTCCCTATGACTGCAATGTACTCCCTCCTCATCTCTACCTCTTAGATTCCCTGTGTGAGAGATGATCTCTCAGAAGTGAAGCCTCCTCAAAGGGTTAATAATTCTTGTTAATAGTTCTCACAAAGGTCAGAAATTAGGAGATCACTGGTCATTTGGAGAGAGATAAGGTCAGAAGTCAGATAGTAGGAGGTTAAGAAGAGTGGGAGGAGAGAAATTGGAGGCACCTGTTGTAGACAGCCTTCTCAAGGAATTTAATTGTATTGTTGAAACACACTCCCTTCTGACCTTGTCAGCCCCACCCCACCTCAGACCCTGTTTTTAAGTATGTACCAGAAAGAATAGCCCTACCCCCAACCTAAACTGCAAGACTTCCCACCTTTTCTTGTCTCTGGGCAAACTTGTGTAACTGCCTTTGTTCTCTGTTGCTGGGGAAGATTTCCATGAATAGATTATGCCCCCTGAAGCCCAGCAAATGGGATAAAGAGAAGGGGGTTAGGGAGAAGGAACTCATTAGGGTATAAATAAGCCTTGCTTTCTACAACCAACTCCTTCTCTTACTCCCTGGCTGACACCATTAGGGCGACCAGGGGTGGGACCCTTTCTCATGAGAAAGCAATAAACTCCTTTCTGCTTTCAAGGTATCTAAGTCTTTGTTTTGAATTTGAGTCATGGTCTCTGTCCCATACACCTGATTTCCTTTAGGACAAAGATCTAACACCACTGTCTACATGTAGTCTTTTATGAACCCTTGACATGCTAGTGCCTTCAAGAGAAAGCTTCCACCTAAATTAGTTTGTACTTATGTTTAATTTATTCTGTGTAGAGTTCTATTCGTACAAGTTGTCTCCTCTGAGAGCTTCTAAGCCCCTTGAGGGCAGGAACTGGTTTGGGTCTTTTCCCTTCCTATCTCCAGCACCAAGTGTAGTGCCAGATATGTGAGAGGTACTTAATAAATGCTTATTGATTGGGTGATTGGTGCTATCTTCATGCAAGAAGTCCTATGATCCAGATCCTGGATTCTGGGAGCAATAGCAAGGAGACAGATGATAGCAGTCACTGATTTGGGTGAGGATCTGTCAGTGACAACAGGAAATAATCCCTGACTGGAAAGAGAAGTGGAGATTTATGAATATTGAACCTGGAATATTTCTTCAGCCCATTGACAAGGGATATGAAGATAAAAGAAATCCCATCCTGGCTCAGCCCCCTTGGTCTCTCTAGTTCATAGTTGGCCTCTGACCTTCCTCAGGGGGATGCATAGGAAAATGCTGCCATTACCATGTTAACCCAAAGGCTAGGGATGGATCCCAAATACCTTGGCTTCACGTAAGGCTTTCAGATCCTCCCATTCTTCCACGGATGGATAAGCAAAATAAGAAAGTTCTTCCCTTATAAACGCCAAAGGTGAAATCAGTTTAACAAATTTGGCCATCTATGGGAAAGTGTTTAGGACAGCAAAGTTTAGGTGAGAGTTTGATGGGAAGAGTAGAGAGAGACTCAGAGCCCCTGAGAATAGATGCATTTAGGGATGGAGAAAGGGAGGGAAAGCAAGAGTATATTTGGAATGTGGGTTAAAGGGAAGAGGTGGGCAGCTAGGTGTTGCAGTGGATAGAGCTCTGGCCTTGGAGTCAGGAGGACCTGAGTTCAAATCTGGCTTCAGACACTTGACACTTACTAGCTGTGTGACACTGGACAAGTCACTTAACCCTGATTGCCTCACCAAAAAGGGGGGTAACCCCCCAAAAAACACAAAAAAAAACAGAGAGGAGGGGAGCACAGGAATAGGATGACGGGACTTTAGAGACCGGTTTCTTCCACCTTCCCATCCCTCCAAGTGCCAGCCTTCTTCCAGCCCTTCTTTGATCGAGCCATATGGAGAGGAGCATTTCTCTCATTTCTCCACCTATTCTGTCTGGGAAGCTACTGCTCTGTACTTACCTGGGCTTTCTCTGCCTACAGCCACTAGGGAAGTCAGCACCAACAGGGTCATCATCAGAACTTTTGTCCACACCCACAGCATCCTGGGGACAGGGAAAGGACAAGGGACACAGAGGAATGGCAGTCAGGGTGGTCCCCAGCTCTTAGAAACTGCCTCTAAAATGTCCAGAATAAGAACTTAAGTGTTCTCTTGTGTGCTCCACGGTTGGGCAGCCTCAGAGATGGGAGAACCAATCTGGATCAGGACTGAACTACATCATCATTCCTAGGCAGAGGTTTCATTTGAAGATTCTCTTCCAATGCCTAGATTTTCCTGAGGTAAAAAAGAGAACAGTATTCCTAGAATCTCATGGGTACTGAGGACCTCAGAAGTTACCTCTTCCCTGGACTATGGAAATAGTCTCCTCCTTGGTCTCCTTGCCTTATCTCTCTCCCTTCTTGAATCCATAATGCACAAAAGTGATTAAATGATATTGCAGAAGAATAATGAACTTGAGTGTAGCATTCCCTTGTTCAAAAACCTTAAGTAGCTCCCTATTGTCCCTAGAATTAAATACTAAGTCCTCTGTTTAGCATTTGAAGGCCTTCATAATTTGACCCTAGCCAGGGACCTTTCCAGCATTTTGACACCTTCCTGCTCTTTCTTAAAAATATAACCAGCAGCTTTTTTGCAATGGGTTTGTTGCCAGAACACAGGTGTTGTGAAAACCATAGGTAAACCTCCACAAAAATGGGCAAGGAAAAGACTCACATTAACATTGTGGACACGTAGATTCTGGAAAGTCTACCTCTGTTGGCCACCTCATCTACAAATGTGGTGGAATTGATGAGAATACCACTGAGAAGTTTGAGAAGGAGGCTGCTGACATGTAAAAGAGCTCCTTCAAATATGCCTGGGCTCTTGGATAAGCTGATGGGTGAATGGGAATGTGCTATCACTATTGATATCTGTGGAAATTTGAGATCAGCAAGTACTATGTGACCATTATTGATGTTCCAGGACACAGAAACTTTATCAAGAACATGATTAGAAGCACATCTCAGGCTGGTCGTGCTGTCCTGATTGTTGCTGCTGGTTTTGGTGAATTTGAAGCTGGTATCTCAAAGAATGGGCAGACCTGTAAGCATGTCCTTCTGGCCTTCACACTAGGTGTAAAACAAATGATTGTTGGTTTAAACAAAATGGATTCCATCAAACTCTGCTCTCCCTACCACCCCCTTACAGCCATGAGAGATATGAGGAAATTGTCAAGAAATTCAGTACCTATTTTAAGAAAATCAACTACAACCCTGACACAGTAGCTTTTTTGCCAATTTCTGGTTGGAATAGTGACAACATGCTGGGGCCAAGTTGTAATATGCCTTGGTTCAAGGGGTGAAAAGTCACTCATAAGGATGGCAGTGCTAATGGAACTGCTCTGCTTGAAGCTTTGGATTGCATTCTGCCACCAATTTGTTCAACTGGCAAGCCCATTCATCTATCAGATGTCTACAAATTGGTGGTAGTGGTATTATACCTATTCTCAGAATGGAAAGTGGTGTTCTAAAACCAGGCATGGTGGCCACCTTTACCTCAGTCAATGTTACAAGTGAAGTAAAGTCTGTTGAAATGTACCATGAAGCTTTGAGTGGGGCTCTGCCTGGGGATAACATTGGTTTGAATGTCAAGAACATGTCTGTCAAAGATGCCATGCTAAAGAGGACAGTGATAACAAGAATGACCCACCTATGGAAGCAGCTGACTTCACTGCACAGGTCATTATCCTGAACCATCCAGGCCAAAGCAGTGCTGGCTATGCACATGTTCTGGATTGTCCCACTGCTTACATTGCTTGCAAGTTTGCTGACCTGAAGGAGAACATTGGTCATGATTCTGGTAAGAAGCTGGAAGATGATCCTAAATTCCTAAATTCTGGCAATGCTGCCATCATTGACATGGTTCCAGGCAAGCCTATGTCAGTGGAGAGCTTCTCTGATTATCCTCTTCTAGGTAGGTATTTAATGGTTCCTTGTTATCTTAGTACAGAAACTCTGATGGGTAACTTTGCATCCAACTGGATAGGAAGTAATGGATCCTATTTCCTAATGCAAGTCATTTCGCTGTCCATGAAGTGAGGTGTCATCAAGGCAAGAAGGCTGCTTGAGCTGGCAAGTTGACAAAATCTGCCCAGAACATCCAGAAAGATAAATGAATATTTTGTACAATACCTGCCATCCCCAGTATTAATCAGTGGTGGAATTGATTAAGTGGCATTGATTGGGGGTGACATGGTCAGAGCTGCAAAGCCCTCCCACCACCGACTAAACTTTTCTGTCCTGCTACACACCTTCATAGAGTCTGCCTAAGAGGCTGGAGACATTTCAATTTAGCTTTGATTTGGTGGGGGGGAAGGGGTAGACTTTTCTCCATTAATTTTCCAGGTATGATTTCAAGGCCATAAGGGAAGATAGAGTATTTAAGACCAATCCTGGGTTTCATGAATAACATCATGGTGGAGTAGGGGAAGGTCTCCCCATCCATTCCTTGGATGCAAGTTAGAGGCAGGATAGAGGCAAATATTGGACTGCAGAGACCAAGGAGATTGACCCAGTCTGATTTTTCTCTTATTTTCATGATCCTTTGTTAATGAGCTGAAAAAGAGAAAGTAAGTAAGCTCAGTGTTCTTCAATCCCTCACTCCCCTATATCTGGCAGGGCTGACATTCTCTGTACCCCTTCCCCCATCCCCCATCTATCAATGTCATCTCTTCCCTCCACATGTCATCTCTTCCTCCTTTGGCTGCTCTACCTGAAGCCAAAGTCTGGATCAAGGGGCCTCTGCAATGGCAAAGCAAGGATGTGAGATCCTTTGTCCTGGGCAGGGAGGAAGCCCTTAGGGAATGGGACAAAATTCTCTTACAGCTAGTATAAGTATTGTAGGGGAGCAGATGAAAGCCCCTCTGTCACAGTCCATATTATTTCCCCTGCAGCCTGGCCTGGCCAATCACAACCTCTTTGGGATTCTATCCTGACCTGGAGCAATCCTCCATGAATCTGACCCACTTTTGAGCTTTGTCACCTGCACTGCATCTGTGTGGAAGGGAGGCTGTATGCCATATGTAACACCCACTCTCCAGGGCTGGCAAGAGAAAGGGGGCCTTCTAGAGATAGCCTGTCAGGGCCTGAGTAAGGAAAACCCAAAGGCAGTGAGATCTCCCAGTCCTAGCAGTGATGGCTGACAGCTGACAACTCAAGGAACACCCTGCTATCACCCACAAGTGTACTGAGCAGGTTATGCCCCCGTGTGGACAATCATCCAAACTACATAATACCTAAGTAGCCTCCCAGCTAGATGTTAGTCAAACTTTTACTAAGCACTTACTATGTGCCAAGCACTGTGTTAACTGCAGGGGAAACAAAGAAAGGTAAAAGTTCCTGAGGATGATGACATGAAAACAACTGTGTACAAACAAGATATATTTAGGATATTTTGGAAATAACCAACAAAAGGGGAATTGGGAAAGGCTTTCTGTAGAAGATGGAATTTTAGTTGGGACTTGCAGAAATCCAGGCAAGCCCCTCATCTGGCCTGAGGAGGAAGAACCTTCCAGACATGGGGGCAGCCAGTAGAAATGCCTAGAGTTGGGAGATGGAGTATCTAGTAGTAGAGACAGTAGAGAAGTAAGTGTCACTGGATCACAGAGTACATGGATGGGGGAGGGGGCAATCAGGGGTAAGGAGACTTAAAAGGAGGAGCCAACATGTGAAGGGCTTTGAAGGTGAACAGGATTTTTAAATTTGATGCTAGAGGTGATAGGGAGACATTGACGTTTATTGAGCAGGTGGGTGACATGGTAAGATCTGTGCTTTAGGAAGATCCATTTGACAGCTGAATGGAGGATGGACTAGAATGGGGAGAGACTGGAGGCAGGCAGACTCATGGACAAGCTATTAGAGTAGTGCAGGTGGAAGGTGCTGCATCAGGGCCATCCCAGGGTCAGAGGAGAAAATGAGGTATAGTCAAGATGGTACAAAGGCGAAATTGCCAAGTTCTGTAAACAGATTCAATATGGAGGATGAGAGTGAGGATAACAATGAAATTGTGAGCCTAGGTGACTGGGAGGATTGTGTAATAGGGAGAGAATCCATGTCTGTAGGAGAATGACCACAGAAAAGGGAAGCACAAGAAGGAACTAAGGGATTATTAACAAATTTTGGCTTGAGCTGAGGTTTCATGTGGGTAAAAGTGGACAAGAAGGCTAGAAATGGAAATGGGGATAGAGTGGAGAAGGCCTTGATTTCCAGGCTAAACAAGTTGTTCTTTATCTAAATGGCAATGGAGAGTCATGTGAGCTGGGGGCTTTGAAGAGAAGATTTAAACCACAGAGAGCAGTTAGGAGGTTGCTGCAGATGCTGAAGCTTGACCCATCATGCCTGGCCTTTGGAGCTGGACAGAGAGCCATGTTGAAGACTGTCATCCTGGTAGGAAGGACTGAGCTGAGTAGGGCAGTCAAAGTATGGGGATGGACTCAGGACTTACCAGCACAGCTAGCCCAAGGTGTCAGGGAAGCAAAGAGGAGCCAGAAATATGTCCAGATGTATCCAAGATTCAGTAGTACCTTGTCAGGAATTTGGCAACATGAAGATCTACAGCTGGGAAATGTTATAACATATTTTCCCATTTTTAGATCATAATGTTAACAAAAGGACAGGCAAATGTCTGAGAAACCAGGAGGCTAAAGATGTTTGAGGTTATTCCAAGCAGTTCAGGTCTAGTCTGACTCTCTTGGATTGGTGACCACATTGGGGTCATTCTGAGCCCCAATGTCTGAGGCTAAGGTGTACCCCTTCTCCCTAATCTTTTATTCTTCTGAAGGAGCTTCACTTGTGGGTGATTCCCTCAAACTGTCTCCTTATCTGCACAGAATCCCAGGATTTGCACCTTGGAGATCATCTAGGCCAACTCTCTGATTTTACCAATGAGGAACCTGAGGGCCCCAAGTTAGTGATTCAGCCAAGGTGACACAGTAGAAATTATCAGGTAATTCAGTTAGTATGTTAAGCTGTTATATTTGTTTAGGTGAAGATACCTGAGGATTAAAGGGCTTTAAGTTGGATGATCTTAGTGTGACTGGAAAAGCTGGGGAAGAGAAGAGACACTGGAGAGGAAGAATCAGTAAGGTTTTCTGACTTGTCTGTGGGAGTTGAAGGAAAAAGAGATACCTGACCCCAAATTACTCCAGGTTTCAAGAGCTGGTATAAGGGAGAATGGTGGTGCCATTAACAGAAATCAGGAAGTCAGGAGAAGTATTTGATTTCAGGGACAAGATGCCAACTATTACATTTTTAGTTTGAGGTGTTTGGGGACATCCAGGTAGAGATGTTTAGCAGGGAGCTGGAATTGTAGGAAGTGGGCCTATAAGAAAGGATGGGCCAAGATCAAGATTCAGGAGGTGTCTTTAGAGGGTTTCAAATGAAGAAGTGGGAATAAAAAGATGTCTGAGGGAGAGAGTATATAAAGAGGAAAATAGAGGGCAGTGATTTTGAGTGGTAAATGTTTAGTGATTGAGAAGAGGAAGAGGAGACAGCTCAGGAGACAGGAAGGTAGCAGCTGCAGAGGTAAGAAAAAAGTGGGAATGGTGA